GTCGGGGGGCATGTAGGTTTCGCCCGCCAGGAGGGTCCTCCTCGGGGCCCAAGGGCCCGGTTTCCACGTGGGGGGCCCCCAGAGTCCGACGGGGTCCATAAGGAGTCCCCGGACCGCAGGGCTGCCGGGCCAGGCCACCGGGGCCGCAAGGCTGAGGAACCGGCCTAGGGTTAGGGTTAGGCCGACGGGGCCTGGCAGGCCCGAGCTGCCCGCGCTGACGTGGCCTCTCCCGCAGGCTGAGTTGAGGGCTTGCGTCTGCAGGATCGTCAGCCTCCCGGTTCCTGGTCCGGGTGGGCGCCGACCGGGGAGGTGGCCCACGGGATGCATGCAGGGGTCTCCCGCTCCGCGGATTCGGCTCGTTTCAAAGAGGAGGCTCTCCTCCTCCGTGGAGATGCAATTGTGGCCTGAGGCTCGGGGCTCCCCCGCCTGGAGAGTTGGGGAAGCAGGCCTCGGCGGACGGAAGCCCGAGCACCCAAGCTGGGCTTCGGGTCCGGTTCCGGCTTAGGGTTCGGGCTAGGGTTAGGGTTAGGGTTAGGACTTAGGGACCAGGCACGTCGGATCGGGCAACACACTCATGGCCTCCCCCGAGGCCTGAGTGGAGGGCGGGACTCGGGAGGCTCCTGGCTCCCTGCGTTTGGGGCCCGCAGGGGCCCAGGGAGCGGGCACGGCCTCCAGGGAGCATGCTGGTTTCTAGCCCTGCGAGGGTCGGAGACTGCACCCAAGGACAGCGTTGGCTCCCGGCTGGGAGGCTGAGGCCGGCCGTCCGCCTGAGGCTGCCCTGCCTGGCAGGAATCGGGTGCCAGGCCTCGGGGGGCCGGGTCCCGAACACGCCACCTAGGGTTAGGGTTGGGTCCTGGGAGAACGGCAGGCCTGAGGGGCCGGTGCCAAGGGAGGCTCCGCGGAGGGCTGAGTTGAGGGCGTTGGTCGGGCGGTCCGTCCGGCTGCGGGATCTGGGTGTGGGCGCCCTCCGGGGGTGTGTGGGCCTGTCGGGGGGCATGTAGGTTTCGCCCGCCAGGAGGGTCCTCCTCGGGGCCCAAGGGCCCGGTTTCCACGTG